CACAATCACAGATAATCAATATCATTTACTTACAGTATCTTATTTTTTTTCAGRCTCCGTAATCAATATCCTTAAAACCTAAAGATAGAAGCATGTGCTTATGTTCYGTTACTAACAGGTATAATTATTATTGTATATAAACTTGTTTTTGAAACACATTTATTTTGATTGTGTTCAGTTTGGAAACAACATCTGAATAATTCTCAAACTTTAATGTGTAAACAGTAAAGTTGGTAAAAAGTCATTTGCAATCTCAAATTTGTTGACATACAATGGATTTTGATCTATGTGGATCATGTAAGRTTGATATCGACGCTACACTAGTTTTTCATGTGTATTAACCATCATGATCAACGCTCATACAAATTAGCGACCAACGTTCGCCCCCCCCCCCCCCAATTAGATAYGTAYCACCACTTTYCCYTTCAGAAGAAAAGTTACGAAAATGGAATCACAGTGCCTTACCGACAACAGAGCAAGCTCACTGTTAATGTTGTTAGAAGACAACGCTTTTGGAGTAYGACTCACTCGTATTGGCATTATTTACTCACAAGTATATTCCACCATATAAGAAAACATACAACAAATTTTTGGTAGAGTATACATATTAAGCATGTATGGCCATTAGGATATCAACACATGTGATTTTTGTAACTTCGTTTCACAACTGGTAAATGAGATGTATATATCTAAGGCAATTATGAATCCTAATTAGGACGTYAGATCTCTAACTAAGGAATTCATGTTGGCCCAACTAAAGGATAATATAACCCTGATGGGCATACAATTAATAAATGAAAAGTTGGAGCCTCTTCGAGAGGCTCTAAATGCATCAAACAACATACAACTAGGAAAGCCGGACACCATGTCCATTTGACAAGCATACAAGCCCAAAAATACTAGTCAAATCCTAAAAACGATTTGAAAAACAACCAAGACATTGTTCAGGACAAAGTCCAATAGATGTCACAACTATGAGATGTTATGACATCTTCAAGTGATAATCAGTGAATAACACATACATTATAAACACTCGAGTATGCATTTCTTCATTAAGCTGTTGGTTACTAAAACAATTCTCATATGAGATTCTTGATGACAGATACCTTAGTTAAGGGCAGTAAGGTTTAATTGTCTCCTAACTCTTTTTTTTTTTTTTATTAACCTAGATATCCAACCCGCTATGCAAGTCGACCAATCCCAGGGCGACCACCTACTTTGCAGATAGCCCAAAGTCACCGCATTTAAACCTCCGTGACCACAAGGGGATTTATATTCCTCCTTGGATTTGAACATGTGACCTCATGGTACTTTTGACCTTTGGAGTCAAGCTCAAACCAATCAGGCACCACCTTTGTGGTTTGTCTCCTAACTTTTGATATTACCATATATGGTTTTTTGAATTARTTCATTGCAGATAGAAAAACAAGAAAAAACACCAGCTTTAGTAATGACATCGTGAACATTGAACAAACATTTCTTTTTGTGTCTCGACCATGTTGYTATAAATGTCCCTCAAGGTGTTATATATTCACTAGGTTGTAAACATCATAATATACTAACCTACAAGGAAATCAAAATCAAACTAACCATTAACACAGTGTATTTTATGATCAGATGCCAATGAAAGATAGGAAAATACYATCACTGAAACAAGACTAGTCGAGGATTATATTAGAAACAATGAAAACAAGGGGACCTAACGAGCAAGAAATGAGATAGCTTTCCATCATCCCAGCATTTCACCATAAAATGTCGGYACTTGTCACTTTTTCAAATAAATAGGTCTAAAGCTAGGGACATGGAATGTATATCAGTTCAACCATTATCAAACATGTTAACTTATTTAATTTCCTTATTCTTCAAATCTTGACATGGGTTTAGGCATGATTTGGATATTAAGAAACGTTGCGATAGATTGTGATAGATCCACTAAATGTTATAAGATACAGTATGAATAAAGGGCGAAGCCCAATCCAGTAAGAGGATACAGGGGCCAAGGTCTCATGTAATCACGTTGATTGTAGATTGACCTTTTAAAGATGAAGTCCACCAAAAACGAATGGATGTCTTATATGAACATTCGATGAAAGGTGGTCAAATACATATTGGTGAAACGAGTATCTAGAATAGACCATGGTGATAAAACGTTACAGGTTCAAAGATCTTCAAAGTATTTCCGTAATAAAGATACGTAGAGTACTAYAGATTTTCCAAAGATCATAGACATGAAGTGAAGGGATGCTAGTAACTGATATGTGATAGAATTTCTAATTTAATGAGAACGCATAAGGAACCTATTCGAATACATCAAAGAATCAACTCTGTAAAGGATAACGAGTGGCATCAAGTGGTCAAAATCATCATGACCAAGTAGACAAGATATGCTAATAGACAAATACATCACTTTCACGAAAAAAGTTGCTACCCTAAAGGCATGTTGAAAACCTGGTTGAAATGAATCCAAGTTAGATTTCATTCATTTATCGACATCAAAAATATAACAGAATAAGTTTAAATAGTGAAAGGACATGTGTGCCACGAGGACATGTGTGCCACGAGGACATGTGTGCCATGAGGACATGTCGTAAGAGAGCATAAATTATGACGTATATACATGAATGTATAAACTATATGAAGCCATCAGTAAATAAGGCATTCTAACCTAACTAGAATGACTCACATACCGCTAGGCCAAAGACCCTTTGGTATAAAGTGTTGATGTTGGAGGATGGAGAGAGGTGAATAATGCTAATAAAAGGAGAAAATGCCGATGTATGATGTTAATCTATTTGTATATAACTATAACAACGACCATATACAAACAAGTAATTCTATAGTAAAAGTTACTTTACTTTGACCATGTTTTATACGTTAAAAGTAATCCCTTGATGCACCACCGGTTGGTCCAAGATGTTAAGTCCGTTAGGCACTTGGACGACCGCCTAGTTATAACTGCTCTAATTGTTATTGCTATTAATTCTGACCATTTATTTGCAAAAACATTCAGATTGTGAGCTTGTTGTCATGTTGAAATGCTCATTTTTATGATTTAGTCATGATCATGTTGTGATATTTTTACCAGCATTAAAACATTCAGTGAAACAAACTGATTAAATTAACCAAAATTATATCTTTTTCATTGCAAAAAATATTGTATCTTTGTTCGAGTTATTAGAAGTATATCCTGTAATGCAATATAATACATSTCTATTTCATCTCTCTCCATTTTAGTGTACGAATCTGTGTGGCTTTGAGAGAGCAATATATTCTTCTGTTAGTTATCAATTTTTATGGAGTATTTTGTTGTATTACAAGGACTCAACGCTTATCTTGTATTTGAACATGCTATCAGTTGGTTATTAGTTAGTTTTATAAAGTTCAAACATAGGGGCCGTTTACCAAATGTTTACCCAGGTAAGCACCTATCAACTCACATTAGCTTATTGGATGAATATAGTAAAGACCAATAATCTTACTCAGTAAGAGCGAGACAAGGACCAAAAGTCTTACCGGTAAGTGAGGACGACGACTCTTACCACGGTAAGTGCTTACAAGGTAAATTGTTGCATACGATTCTTTTTTGGTGAGCTAAAATCTTACCCAGTAAATAACTGGTAATGATTAATTTTACCGATAAACGTTTACCGGGTAAGTGTTTGGTAAACAACCACTTATTAATAAGTAGAAAATGTTATATAAAATAGTAAAAATATTGTACAGCTATACTAGCCTGTGAATCTATCTATGATTGAAATTTTGAAAAATGGGGTTATATATATATATATATATATATATATATATATAACCCACTTCGCGGTTAACCTGGAATCATCACATTTCAATCTTCGTGGCAACAAGAAGATTTTTATTCATTATTGGATTCGAACCTGGGACCTCCTGACATTTTTGACCTTTGGAACCCAAGCTCAAACCAATCGGGCACCATCTTGGGGTTGAATTAAGAGTTTTTAAGGGTAAAACTTGAATGCTTTATATTATCGTTAGATACAAAAAGAGTTGTATCCTTCCAGTATCTCTTACTGTCTTACATATCATCCAAAACGGAGAATCAAAAATCAAAAATTAAAAAAAAAATGCATTCAACTATAAAAGGATATTAATAAAATATTTAATACATTTAATAAAATACAATTTTTTTCTAGTAAACATTTAATTCAATGAATTTTGCTAATAAAAAATCATTTTATGTGTGAACAATAATTTTTAAGGAGTAGTTACCATCTCTTTTACCTTTTTCTCTTTTGTAAAATTTGTTGAAACGAAAAATTTAGCTGACATTTGTTTTTCAAAAAGGTGTTGACGTCTAAATTCTTATTTCATTTTTGATTAATAAGAGATGATGTTGAAGTCTGAAATCTGAATAAATAAGACTGTTTGTATTTGTAAACTGATAAATGTCTGAACTTGTTTAAATTGTCTATTTCATCCATTAAAAAATTATAGTGTTAAATTTATACAATTTCACATATTTATTCATTATCCATTACGAAATTTATATTTAAATTGTATTATTAACATTCATTTAAACGAAAATATGTCATACCAAATCGATTTAGAGAAACAATCGACTAAATTTAATCGATTGAGAAACATCGTTACTAACAGTCTGGAGAACAATAAGAAGTAAATAAGAGATTGATTTATATCTTATCAGATAAGAAATAAACAAGAGATAAGTGCATCTAAAAAATTGGAAAAAACAAATAGTTTGAATAGCAGAGATTTGTTTTATGAAAATGGTAAATGTAATTCAATATAAAATATTAATCCAATAAAATTGTTGTTCATTTTATTTTCCTTTGGACAACATGGGGGTAAAATGGTAAATGTAATTCGAGGAAGAAGATGTATAGGAAAGACTAGCACACAGGCAAACATTACTCCGCTAATTAATGATGGTAATTAAGAAGAGATAATGTAGTTTAATTATGAAAATCTTGATTAATTTGGGAGGAAAGGATAAGGTGTTTTCTCTTCATTTCTCTCTCACATGACCTCATCAACTTTCTCTCTCTAAAACCTGTATCCGGTTTTCCTTCCATCTCTGTCTCTCTGTAGATTATCTGTATCCATATTCCAACCTGTATAAATTGATACCGTTTTTGATGCTCAGAAGTTCATATCCGATGTCTGTTGCTTTCGAGACTAATAGTGGTGGTGGTGGTGATAGGAATCGGATCCAACCGCCAGGGTTTTCTCACGGAATGTGGATCTATAACTTGTCGGAATCCGGTAGATTCACTGGAGGTAGTCCTTGGAGCAGCACTCTACCAGTTGTTAAAGAGGAGGATTCCAGCAGTTCGTCGTCTATAGGGAAGAACAGTGATGCGTTAAGCGGCGGAGGTGATTCAGATGAAGACGACGGCGAAGTTCAGAGCAAGGATAATGGATCGCTAAACGGCTTAAATTCTTTGGAGGAAGTTTTGCCGATCAGGTATGGTTGTTGTTACAGTTAATTGTTCATATTAATGATCAAATTTCAGATTGGTGGTGGTGATTCTGTGTCATTTAAACATGCATGAACCCCTTTCTTACTTTTTTTGTAGAAATTGATATCGATTTTGTTAATTGTTTCCTAAAACCATTTTGCTGTCAAGTTTATGATACAACGTTGTATGCAATAATCGAATTGTTTAAAAAAATGGTGTTTGATCCTTGAAGTAGAAGTATGTTTATTTAGGGGTTTTCCGTGTAACAAATGTTTATTATTGAGAATATGAATTGGGATGGTTATATGCGTAGGGGCTGATTGGTTGGTTTTCCATCAAGTCCGGTATGTATAATGTTGTCTGTGTGGATTAATGTGTCTGTATATATTGCAAAGGTGTTTTTTGTTTAGGAGGGTTCATTCTTATGGATGGATGGAACGTGTTGTTTAATTAGAAGGCATAGGTTTTGGAAAATGGCTTTCTGCAGAAGGCTCGTCATAGAATTTTACTGAATAAGCCACTTTCTATATTATCAAGCCACTATGCCAAATGGTCATGTGTAGCTTGTGTAGCTGACCAAATACGCTGTGAATTCCATTAAGTTCTGCTAAAAAGCATGCCCTTATATTTCCTAATCTCAGAAGTCTTTTTACATTCAGGAGGGGGATATCAACGTTCTATGCCGGTAAATCAAAGTCATATGGAAGCCTAGCTGATGCTTCCTCTGTTCCATCGATCCAAGACATTGTTAAGCCAGAGGATGCTTACAGCCGAAAACGCAAGAACATGCTTGCTCATAATGCTTTATTGGACAAGCATCGTAAATCCACGACCGAGAATGGGATTTCAAAGAGGCTTGCCAACTCTAGCAGCAGTTGCTTGGATATAGGGTTAAACATTAACGGCCACGATAACAAGGAAACTGGAGAAAGCTCTGACTCAAACTCATCTCATTCGGGGTTTTCTCTTCCACCGTTGCCCAGTAGACAACTACCGACTGATGAATCATCAGATTCATCTCGTAGACTATACTGTTCCCCATGGAGATCTTTGTCTCTCTCAGATTTGCAACATGTTTCTGCTGTAACTTCGAGTATCACCGGCTTGGTGAGTAACAAAAGAGACAACGAGGAGGAGCATTAGGTGTAGTTCGTGTTTCTTTGTTGGTTATATGAAGATTAGAATTGAAAGATAGTTTTTATGGTGTTAAGGGTCTCTGTAAACTGTTTTTATGTTGTTACCATTTTCTGGTCATGCCCGTTGTACTTACTTCTTAGACATGGCATCTGGGCATTTCCAGAAACCATAGGATGTCAAGCAGTTTGTAGGTCTGCTTTGTATCCGGTTGTCGTTTAAGTATGATTAAGGAAATGCTCTCCTTTTCTTGCTTAATCCCAAAGGTTCACTATTGTTGCCCATTAACCAATCTTTTTTCAGATCTCTGTTCAACAAAGTCAAAAGGACCAGTTAACGAATGATGAGACAAGATTGGAATATATTAGAGTAGAAGATAATTGAGAGCATAAATTCTTGTTGTAGAGCTTAAAGTGAGAGGTCAAGGTTAGTGATGTTTCTGTATCCAGTTCTCTTCATGGTTACTACACAGAGGAAGGATCTTGGGTTCACCGGAGAACCATGTGTAACTTGTGACCCGTATTTGGAGCAAATTGCTGATTCCCTTTAAAGCTGAATAGCATGCCAAGGGAAATAGCTATGACCACATTTGTTGTGCATATCAGTTCTGATGTGCAGAAAGGTACTGCTTTCAAAGTTACTTGAGTTGCTATTATGTGTAAGGGGATGTTTGGTTGATTTTCCATTAAGTCCTGTATGAATAAAGTTGTCTTTGTGGATTAATCTGTCTGTATAGATCGTGAAGGTTTTTGTTTGAGAGCGTTTTTCATAGATGGAAGGAGGGTGTTTTAAATTGAGAGGGGCATGTTTGGAAAAAACTTGGCTTTCTGCATATCCATATTCAATTCTCCGAAGAAGATTCTCAGAAGCTGATTCTATGCATCAGACTAAGGGCCTGTTTGTTAGCAGCTTAATAGGCTTAATGGGACTCATAGCTTATTCGGTCAGCTATATATGACTTATTGGTAGTGGTTTGATGATATAGAAAATGGTTTATTCAATAAGCTTCTACTGGGAGCTTTATGCAGAAATTCAATTTTTTTCCAAACATGTCCCACCTACTTAAAAAACACGCTCTTTCCATCTATGAAAAAGCCCTCTCAAACGAAAACCTTCTCAATCTATACAGACAGATTAATTCACATGGACAACTTTATCCATACAGGACTTAACGGAAAACCAACCAAACATCCCCTAACTTCCCCTTAGAATCTTACTGAAGAAGCCACTTTTTTGTATCATTAAGCCATTACCAAAAAGTAATGTATAACTGACCGTATAAGCTGTGAATCCCATTAAGTTTGTTAAGCTGCTAACAAACAGACCCTTAAGTTTTATTGCTTATTAACATTTATGTGTCATGTAACTAGATGTTGTACAAACACTTGCATTACAGTTTGATTCATTATCTTTGCAGCATTCTGTGATTATACATATTAAATGTTGAACATACCAATGTGAGTGACGTCATTTAGGTGCGTCCTATTTCAGGACGTTTTTATGTACCAACTGATGGTTTTCTCGACTCTTTCTTTACTAGAGTGTGAAGTAAGTTTTGTTTGTCAATAATATGAGGTTGAGATTCTGTTCATGGAATGTGAACTTATAAGTTATATCCACTTTCAGAAATGGACCCTTTTCAGACAAGACTGATTGTTGCTCACTAGGTATCTTGTGCTGGTTTACTCAGCTAGGTATTGCAGTGATAAGCAGCAACTGAGTGTTTACCAAAGAACGAAATTAAGAACTGGAGACTATCCGCATCCTGAACAGGGACGGACCTACTTTGGTGGTATAGGTGGCACGTGACACCGTATTATTCCTTCGTCGAAGGGTAAAAAAAAATTAGGGGTCGTGAAATGTGCAACCGTACTAATCTGTTATGTGCCACCATATGTATTTTAAAACTACAATGAGAACAAGTTTTATTTGGTAGAGTTGGTTTGCAAGGCTTTTATTCCACCCCAGACCCAAGTTTGAATCGTGTTAGTGTCATTTTCTTAGTCAAATGGTGCCACAGATTGAAAAAATTTCGTATATTTGTTTCTTATAGTCAAACAGTGCCACCGTTTGAAATGTTTTCCCTATAGTTTTTTCTTATAGTCAAATGATGCCACCGGTTGAAAAAATGTATGGGTCCGTCACTGATCCTAAAGTGTATATATACCTAGTATCGTCTGTATCATAACGAGTACTTGTATTTATAAAGAAATAATGCTAAATGGGAGGCTCCTGCGCTGCTTATCCTCATTGTGTAGCTTTGCGTCTTTAGGGTTCTTCAGTATTTGTCACTTTGCACATGATATTTGTATATTGCTTTCTTTTTTATGTCTTAATAATGTACATCACTAGCCAGCTAAGTTGCGTAACGGGATTTGATTATTTTGTCATAGTATCAGGGATTTTCTAACAAATACTTAGTAACATTTGTGTCAATTTATATTTAGTATTTGTTATCGGAGTTTAAGATTTTTAGATACTGTTATTTTACAAATTTTTCATGCAAGCTGCTTTGAAACTTGACAGGTGGTTCATCAATGATTTAACTGTCGGTACTTAGAAAATGAAGTGTTTTTTGGTGAGGGTCAGATTTTACAATACTGCTGCTTCTCTTTTATCAGGTTGGTTACTAGAAGTTTGAGGTGGTGCCACTTCAGAAACAGCAAAAAAGTCGGTGTATTTTACTCTTACGGCTTCCAGAGGTAATTCTTGCTTTATACCTGAGGTAATTCGTTATAGTTCACTTCTTACTAGTCGCAAAATCTATAAATCTAAGTTCGTATCTAGAGCCAAGGTGGCATTTTTAGTGAATTACAGGAAAGCCCATTTCGTGCTTTATACCTGCGGTAGTTCTTTATAGTTTACACTTTTACTAGCAAAATCCTTAAATCTAGGTTCATATCTAGTTCCAAGGTGGTATTGATAGTGATTTCCTTTGGGTTATCTAGACTTCCCTAAATCTTACTGCAAGATGTTCTTGACCTTCAACAACCACCGGCACTGACAGCCTCCCAACCATCGCGACTACTGATAGAACCGGCGATCGTATTGAGATAAAATCCAAAATGATGACCAGAAATGTGAAATGATGTGCTTATGGGTCCTATTTCTCAAGTCGAATTAATGTGGGAGGGACAAAAATGGAAAATGAAAAGGAGATAAATGATGCAATCTATAACTTACAAAGTTTTGTTCAAGTTGGGTAGGGCCCGTTTGTTAGCAGCTTAATGAGCTTAATGGGACTTACAGCATATTCGATCGGCTATAGATGACTGTTTGGTAATAGATTAATGATATAAAAAGTGGCTTATTCAGTAAGCTTCTAGAGGGAGCTTTATGCAGAAAGCCAAGTTTTTTTTTCCAAACCTGACTCTCCGAATAAAAAAGTGCGCTCCTTGCATCTATGAAAAAACCCTCCCAAACAAAAATCTTATCATCTATACAGATAGATTAATCCACACAGATAACTTTATCCATATAGGACTTGATAAAAACCAAACCAAACTGCCCCTAACACAGCAAACTTGGAAAAAGTGGCTCTACCATTTGGGGGTCCCACATCTCTAGACCCTACTTTCGAGTGAGATACATTGGGTTCTACAAACCATATTATATTTCAAAGACGGACTGCGTCAAGCAGAGCGTTTTCTTGTTCTTAAATTTTCTTGTTGCAATGAAATACATCAGAGTCGGAGAAAGTGAAATGGCGGTCTGCAAGTTGCAGACCCCAACGAAGATAAAAGTTCCTCGTTCAACGCTAGCCAGCGGACTCTACATGAAAAGCGACTGCAAATGTTTCAGAATTCAAACACTTTCCATGGACGATAACGGATGCCTTTCAACCTTCAAGAAGGTGGTTGGTTTAGACTGCGCTTCAAACGGATGGTTTTTGGTGTTTTATTCTTCATCGGAATGTATTTGAGGACACAACCATCAATCTTTTAGTCAGATAGTGGTATAGTAGCTTGATTCATTTAGACTAATAGAATTTTCAAACACCCACTATACGTATTAGAGCATCTCCAACAGTTATGTTATTTTTTTTAGAGATTTGGGAAAATTTTGCTCCAACGGCTATGTTAAACTCTACTTTAAAAATAAGAGAATGGAGAATTCTTCAAATTTAGAAGAAGGGAGAAAATACAGCTTATTTATTGGAGATGCTCTTAGTTACTGATGTGCACGGTATGAAGGTTTTATGTACAATTCACTTGCTTTTTTGAGGTCTATTACGAAGGTTTTATGCAAATTCACTTGTTTTGTCGAGTTCAGCGGTTGCATTAATGATGTTTTACCCATTCCTTGGTTATCAGTAATAGCATATCGTCATTTTGTTGAAATTTGGCGTCATGTTGTCTAAGGTTGTGACGTAACGTTCGATGTTCAGGATGTATTATCGAGAGACGTTTTTACTTTATTTGAGTATATAGTTTTTACAACTTCTATTTGGGATGAAATACGTGCTTTTAGGGTGCCTTTGGTACGCTGGACAAGACAAAATAGGGATCTCTGATTCACGTTTGGCAGAACTTTTATGTGGAACAAACAGGAACAGAGTGGAATATGCTTGTTCCATCCCTACTCCATAGAACCGGGTGGAAGAAAGTGGAACCAATTTAAATTTTACCAATATAATCTCAAAATAAAACTTAATTCTCTCTAAAATATCAAATGGATCTTTTTTTTTACATTCTATTCATTCTTTAAATTTTATTTATTGTATTTTATGTTTTTTAAACATTTATTTTCATGTCCCCAAAATATTATCTTCGTACAATTTCTATATTTTTATTAATTTATTTAATTTATTATATATTTAGTAATAAAAAATAATGCAAAAAAAGGATAAAAATAAAAAAAATTAGAAACTACATAAATTTTTTATTTTGGTGTCATTTTAATTGTTATGACGACAACTTTTTAATGATATATTTTGTTATAAAAAATAATTATTTTATTATAATTTACTAAATCACATAAATTAATTAAAATATATAAACAACTCATTAGGGGTAAATTAATCATATTACTTGTTTTGTTCTATCTTACTAGACTTTGAACAGATGTTTTGTCCCGTCATGTCCTGCACTATCATGTTTGGACACCGAAGGCACCTTTAGGTTTTTGAATCATCGTCTTTAGAGTAAACTACAAATTTGGTTCTGATGGTTTGTTAAAAGTAACACTTTTCGTCCCCTTAGTTTCAAAATTAACAAGATGGCCACCATGGTCTGTAAAAACGTTTGTATTTGGTCCCTTTCTTTAATGGCCGTTAAAAAATTCCATTAAATAAGATGCATTTTCATCCGGAAAGAAAAATAAAAGGACAAAAAAGTAAAGACTAAACTACAATTTTGGTCTTGTAGTTTTTGATTGAATAAAAGACAAAAAAATCGATAAAAAAACAGAAAATGCTTTGGTAATATAAAACAGATTGTTTTTGGCATGTAGCTTCATGTCTTTGCCTAAATACAAGACAGGTACCAAGTTCAATTCTACCCCCTCAATCGGCTAGCCTTAGCAACTGAATGAGCCAAAAACGCTTCTTTACAATGGTGTCCTTGAAAACGGGTTCTGTGTGGGGCCGGTTGGGATCGTCAGTAATCAACTATTTACCCAAATACTAAAATCAATTGCATCAATAAAATGTCTAAAACTATTGAGTTTGCATTTTCAAAAATAAAAACATATGGATCAAAGGAGCAAGACGTAATAGCCTATTTGGGAGAACAAAAATGAAGAAATGGTAGCTAAAACAAAGCTGCTTACTTACTACTGAATACAACTAATGAAATTTGCAACAACGGAAAAAGGATTACTACAGCTTCAGGATGGATTCAACAAGCTCATACAACGGTGCAAGCTCCCCTTGATCGATCAACCGGAATTCCTGCCCAGGAACCAACACACCATTAGTTGGGCTAAGGTCCAAACCACACCATGGTCCCACCAGAGTATTGTCATTGAGCTTAGAGATACTAAAAAAGCACAAAAATGCCCAAGCCCGAAAGCCCAGGCTCGACCTTAAAAGCCTTGATCAAGCCAATCTTTTTCAGGCCCAAAAAGCCCAAAGACAAAAGCAGTCAGTAAAATCTGGCCTGAAAAAGCCTAATTGGATCCTCTTTCAACCCCAAAGCCCTGATCAAGCCAATTTCTTTTAAGGCCCGAAAAGCCCGATGAAGGCAAAAGAAGCCTGAAAAAGTGTAAAGTCTGGCCAGAAAAAGCCCAATCGGGCTCTCTTTCAACCCCAAAGCCTGGCCCGGACCCAGAAAAACCCTAGGCTCTTTTTATGGTTCAGTAAAAGCGGGCTTGGGAGGCCAAGCCTTGTACATCTCAAACAAAGGTATAAGCTAAAACTAGTGTTCATAACTTAGGGACCGTTTACCAAATACTTACCCGATAAGTGCTTATCGGTAAAATTTAACACTATTATTTACTTACAGGGTAAGATTTTAGTCCACCAAAACAACATCGTATGCAACAATTTGACCGGTAAGCGCTTCCCGTGGTAAGAGTCGTCACCTTCACTTACCGAGTAAGACTCTTGGTCCTTATCTCGCTCTTACCGGGTAAGATTCTTGGTCTTTACCATATTCATGTGGTGAGGTAATGTTACTTTGGTAAATGGCCCCTTAATTTCTTTGAGTTAAAAATATGAATTTTATGACTTGTAGCTCTTGTAATCAAATGCGCGGTGAACCAAACCAATTCAGAAAGTATAGGTAGACCTAACATTTACTCCAAAGAGTAGATTGGCTGTTTCCGTGAATCGAAATGTTAAATTACCATGTTAATGATCTATTAAGATAAGAAAAGAAATAGGTAGGAAATAAAGTAATGGTTGAAGTATGAAAATTGTTGCATAGATAGAATAGAGAAACAAGTTGAAGGCTGATGAAGAAAAGAGGATGCAAATAGTGAAGGCTCACCCATGTGAAGAGGACAAAATGCTTGAAGCAAGTATTCAGATGAGCTTCTTCTTTCAAGCTCATAATCATCTGAAAATGTGAATGATAGATGTGGGCATATACCCTAAACAACCGCTTGAATACCGTCTTCACCACATCCTGGAAATTGGGAGGAAATGGCGCACCTGCAACACACGCTAGTGAGATGAAACAACCAAACTATATACTAAAGAATTGATTTTGTTTGGTAAAAAGAATCATCACACACCAAGTTTCTGAGGGAATATTGATTCATTATCAAGTTGAGTTTCAATCCACTCCATCAAATACTCAACATATTTAGGAGCAGATACTTCTATAGGTTTCTTGATAGAAACACCATCAGCCCACCTGTACTCATATCTGCAGAAAACAAGAAAACGTAGGGAAATGTCACGAAGCTTTTCAATGTCAAACGTTAGTTGAATTCAGATGATCATAAAGTGCAGCACTATCAGAGACGTTTCAATCTTTTGGGAGGCCCTGTTACACCTAAAACTTTTGATTACATTACAAATTGAGATAACAAAGATACATATATACAAATTAGAGAGGCGGTAACAAGGGTACTACTTTTGCCTTTGAATATAAACTAGAGAGGCACTCGGGTGGGCCAAAGTTTTGCATTCGTTGACAAAAAGCATTAAACAATGTAAAATTTTCGGGACCCAATTCAAAATCACACATTTAACATGCTAAAGAACGGCTTTGAGCACTATGACTATTAGCATGCAAGATACACAGGTCCATAGATTAGATCAATGGCCTATGAAACATGCTATAAATTGTTCACAGAAAAAATTATGTTATAAAGCCACAAAGACAACTTATTGTTGATATATAATCTTGATCGATGAAGAGGGATGAAGCAAATTACTTTGCTCCGGCTGTCATTGTTGGGCAGGTTGATGGCGTGCAGAACTCAGTAAGAGTGCCATAAAGGATGTTCACTTGATTAAAGAAATCAACAGCTGTAGAAATAAAAGAAAGATCAGTGACGGGATATTCAAAATTGAGAACATAGAATCATATGCTAACTTGTATACATGTATATGTCCATCAAGGGAAACCTAAAAATGGTTTTCTTGGTATAACTAAATGTCCCTTACACCCCATATCAGAATCTTCACTAGTTAGCAGAAGCAGCATCTTGCTGCGAATTGAATTATGATTGTGATGAATGTTCAAAAAATTATGGCTTTGCGAAGCCAGAAAGTTGTTGAATTCTATCATAATTATGAGTTCAATTTTTGTAGCTTTCAACGCATTCATAGTTCCCAGAAAGTTGTCTCTATGATGATGCATGAGACCTCAACATTGTTGCAAGTGAATATGAGCGATGAGAGGACTAGGGCCAGATGCAGTGGAAGAGAATTACCAACGTTAACGATCATGATAGAAATTCTTACCATTTATCGCCAGCCACTCGTTAAGATCTTCTCCAGGGGGTAGGCGCACAGCTTCCCTCAAATTTCCACTACCCAAGGTTGCATCAATGTGTTTTTTAAGTTGTGCACCCTGCATCCATATAAATTCAGCAAACCAAATGAGTTTGACCAGAGGGAATAAGCAAGGAAACAGTAAGAAAATCCATCAATGTGTGTCTAAGTTGTAGCTAACCAACCTTACTTCCTGATGGAGCACTCTTTTTTGGTCGAAAAGTCTTCTGGTTTCTGCAAATACGGATGTGCAGGGAGGATCAGCAATTATAAAAAATGAAAAATAACGATGAATCTCTGTAGTCAATAACAACAGATAATAATACCAAAGAGCCTTCGGTCTAGCGGTATCGTCGTCTTTGGCCTCTTAGGAGGTCAGGGGTTCAAACCTCACCAAAGGTGAGGAGGGCGTGTGAGTTTATTGGTTGCATTTTCCGTTTATAAATATTATATGCTTAAAAAAACAGATAATAATATGTGCCGTAACCTGTAAGATCATAAGAAGCTTGAGACTGCAACAAACACTTTAAGAAGTAGAATTCGGAAGTGCTTGTGTATGAAAAATATCAGATCAGTAAGTTTCATTCTTATTAGTCTTTTGTAGGTACCATACCTTTAGTAAAAGAAATTGAATAGAGTCTTTGAACCTGCCTATATTTCAAACTATCATCTCCTATCCATTACTCATAAAGAAACTAAAACCACAAAAGCATTGTTGAACTTTCACTACATTATGTCTGAACAAATCATCCATCTCCTGGAAATCAATGGTGCCATAAGGGTCACCACTGGTTATACTCGATCGAGGACTAAACTTATTAACTTTTTACAGCTAAAACATTGATGTGTGATTGAACTGACTGCATCAAGTGAGGCGTAAATAGCTATACAACTCGAATAGATGGAAATACCTTTACAGACCTTTGAGTAATCAAAAAACGATCAAAGGTAAACACAATAACACATCACAAATTTATCCCACTACATCATCAACATCCAGTTTCAGGTTCCCTTGCTAAATTCACAATTTCTCCATCAACCAATCACTTCCTTCACCAAAAAACCCATATTTTACTTCTTGTAGCTTCAAATTCTTTTGTTGGTTTTAGAAGAAAATGTTAAAGAACTACTACAATTAGAACATCTTGAAGCTCAGAACTTATATTACAATTTTAGTTACAGAAAGCATGTCAGCAAGCACCCGATTTACACATATAAGTTTTTCCAGCTTTCAGAACTTCTGTTACTTCGTGTAACTGTTAGCTTGAAGTTTATAGGCTAAATTTTACTCCCTAAAAGATACTTTGTGAATTACCAAAATAGAAGAAGCAATCAATAAAGTAAAATAGAACTGTACTTTTTCACCTTTTTACTCGAACAAATGCATAATGCACCTTCATGCAATTTCAGTGAAATTACTTGAAATAAATCGTTAATAACTGTTAAAAATCATGTTTATTAACTTCGATTAAAATTATTTCTGAAAAATCTGGTTAAATTTATGTATGTTCGAACATATAATTGAAGAAAAGATGTCAATCGAGTCCCCATGATCAGTAAATTAATCTAACATAAAATTCAAAATCACATCAACTACAATCAAGCAACCGAAAGTTGGATTAATCAAACATATAATCAGCGAAACGAATCAATCGTCGTAATGAAAAATGCAAAAAAGCTGAAAGCGAAATCGATGTACCTGCTGCCGAGGCCAAAGAGACTCATGATGACCTAGGGTTTTCAGTATTCCTGTGTTTTTTAGGTGTGTTTGCATCCCTTTTATATATGTATATTGATATAGATATATACATGAAGTCAGAAGAAGAGGGATGTACAGGTCGATTTTTTGCCATTGCCATCTTGAGCTTACCTGTCATGGCCGATTCTGCCGCCAACGCCAACCTTTCCATTTTCCAATTTACAATTTTCCCCCTTCAACTATAGGAATTATCCACTTTTACTCCATATAAAAATTAAAAGAGTTGCCATAACTACAATTTTTTTTTTCTTTTTAATAAAAAACATTGTATTAAACTACACATAAAATTGATTATGTTAGATTTTTTTTGGAAGGGTGTAACAAACTATGTCCAGACTAATACTGATATTATGACTGTAAGATATCAATCTTGATAAACTCAGTGGTCACAATTGTCATGAACGTCTGAAATTGAACTCAGGGTATATGACATATTCCACCACTTCCTCTATACCTTAACCACTACATCACAACCATTGGGATTATGGGATTGTTTATTTACCTCTTAATAGTTCTATTAAAAGGCAACATCTGAATCATTAAGAGGTGAATCTTGTTTGTCAAAAAAAATCTGTCTTTTAATGGTTCTAATTTCATTGTACATAATTACCAAACAATTATATTTCATTTTGTACTATATCATGAGAGTCTCTTAATCATTCTACACCAAACCATTCAGCAATTGCCAAATTTTTATTTTATTTTTTTTGTTTTTATGGGTGGGTAATATAGGTATTTGACAAATTAAAATTAATATGTTACAATTTAAATAAAGATACAGGGGAATGCTACACTTTTTAGTTACTGGGAGAACCCAACTACTATCTGGCTTTCAAATTAAATTCTGAATTAGTGGATGTTACCAAAGGGATTGGCTCAGCGTGTTCTATTCGATACAGGTAGGAAACGAACTTGGTCCATTTTGCAAGTTCGTTATTACGGATAGTTTCTTTTTTATTATAGTATGAATATCTTGGACTTTTTGATCAAAAATTATATAGCATTTGACCTCGTATACTGTTTAAAGAAAGTTTTCATTGATAATTCAGTATTTAATAATACAGAGACTTAAAATTTATGGATTACGGTTGATATTATTAGTATATTGTAGTAATTGTCAATTGGATAAGTTTTATAATATGTAATATTTAAAATGGATTTTTTATATGGAGCAAGTTGTAAAGGAACATTAGTAGATGAATTTTGCCTACTAAATTGAGAAAGTGGTTAGGGTAGAAGTATGAGGGGGCAAATTGTACCACATCAAAGTACATGGAGCAAAATGTAAATAATACTGTCCTTGTCATTTGAATGGCCATATGATTTTCATGTTTTTTATCTTTAAATTTCATAATTGGTTAAGAAAATTATAAATTATAAGGTTTAGAAAAATTAATAATAAGAAAAAAAAATATATATTTTTTTTATTGTTTCCACTAATGAGGTTAAAGAGTTGTGTTTCGATGAAAAATAGAGTTAAGGTGAGAAGCATGGGACGAGATCTCTACCCTTTGATGCATATTAGGATGAGATGCACTGGATTAATCATCGTATCAAGAGCGATTCATGGGTGGGTTTAATATTAAAGGTTATCAACGGTACAAATCCCTTCTTACGATTCTCACCTTAAAACTCCTTATTACACGATCCTTCGCCCAAGGTTAAATATGTTATGCTATGCTTCCCAATGAAAAAGGAATTAGCGATCGATTTGGTTCTCAATTCCATATAGATTCGGTTGGTTCGTGTTGGTATTGGTTTTGTACCAAATTCAAGTAACAACTATGAAAAAATTTTGTTCAAATTTTGAACGAAAATTTGAGCTTCTAGGTAACATTAGTAATATTTAAAGGTTTTTAACTGCAATAAATAAAACTTGTAAATATTCAAATGTTCAAATAAAATAATTAAAATTAAAATGTTTAATATTCAATACATAAAAAATACAAAAATTTATAAATAATAAAATAAGTCGGAACCATGGTATTACCGTGGTATGTGACTTCTAATACTGTGCATACCTGGTTTGGTACCACCAACCGAGTGTATTGATACCAATTGAATTGGTATACATGTTGACTGATTTGGTTTGATAAAAAATTATCACCTCTGACTATAATTTTTTATAAAATTATTTAAAATTTTGTAAAATATTTTAATATTATAATTAATGTTGAAATTGATAAAATTAAAGAATGTTAGACTTTCATGTAAAAAAGTTTATATTGATTTTAGATGATATTTTATTGCATCACATGATTTGTTGATAGGGGTAAAATGGTTATTTTCAATATTAAATTTTATAAAAATCTTATTTTTTAAATTAAAATGTATTTCTTTCTTTTTTAAATCTTAATTATTTAAAATTTGAAATTAATTACATTATACTTAAAAACGAATATTTTATCATATTTTGATTTGATATCTATATTGTGTTGCATTAGAAAAAAAAAAACAAGTGGTGGACACTTGTAAGTAGAATTGTTATCATGTGAGATTAGTCTATTTTCGTAAGACTCGTGAGACTATTTTTTTACACTTAAAAATTCATAGCAAAACACTGTGAATGTAACCTTCACGATGTTTTTGCTATGAAGGTTCAGTTTTTTTTTATCTTCACAACGTTTTTCTGTGAAATTTCAAGTGTAAAAAAGTGTTTTCATGAAAACAACCGGGTCTAACGTGAACCCAACCCCTTTTAAGTATTCATTATAAAATTCATGTATTGTTACATTGTAAAAAACTTGATTTTTTATTATTTATATATGAAATGATTGTTGTTAGTAAATAAAAAACTTGAATCATGATATATAAATATAATTTAACATACAATTTTATTCACAAATGAATCAAACATATCACTCATGTATGAATCCATAACATTTTTGATGCAACAATATTCATTTATCTATGAATCTCAAAATGTTACCATATACAAAAACTTGATTCTTTATCATTCATATGTGAATGTATGAATTTATTGGGACTAGTGAATTGAATTTGCATATAGTGGATTACGATTAACTTCGATTACAAATCAGGGACGGACCTACATATATGATATGGTGGCGCAAGCCACCGCTCCATGTTTCCATCGAAGGGGGTTGGCACAAGCCTTTAATGATGGAGTTGGTAGATGTTTGCACAATTTGTACAAGAACCTCGGGTTCGAATCTCACTTTCATCAAATTTCTTAGTTTTCAGCTTAAATTTTGGTTTTTTTTCGTATACCTTTTATATATATTATAGTTATAAAATATTTGACAAAAACTCTTAAAAACCATATTGTATACATAAAGTACTGTTTATTGATGCATATTACTTAAAGTTCAAGATTACAAGTAAATTGTGCGTAAGTACAACTTATTAAGCTCTATGTTTGAATTCGTGTAACTAACTGTAGATAAATATAATCAAATACATGATAAAATTCTTATTTTAAATATAAAATCTAAAATATAATTATTAAATTTTAATAGAATACTTAGTTATTATCTTCATAAAAATTATATTATTAAACAAAAAATAAATTACTTCGTCATTAAATCTAAATTAAATTATAAAAAATAAAATTAAGGAAATTACACAAAAAATGAGAACTTTTATATTTTTTAATTTTTATATTATCTTCAAATTTATATTTTAGTAAAAAAACATTATTGTTTGCTCAGAACAACATAAATTCGTATTATAACATCGAAAAAGACCAAAAAAATAAAATAAAACAGTGAAATCAAGATATATCTCGCTGCATTGCACGAGCACCCCTCTAATGTTTAAAAAAATTAATTATAGCACGACACAAACATGGATCGTTTATGTGTCAGGACAATGAACTAACCAACCAATCTATAGATTTGTTTTTATAATCAAACTATACCACTTTTTTTCTTGCTTCGCCTCTGTTACAAATCCTGTATTTTCAATACGAATGAGGGACTCATATGTGCTTTTCGAATATCAAATCCTATTAAATGAATATTACTCTTTAAGAAAACCAATCCACAACATAACTTTGCATTAAAATAAAGAGAAAAGTTCAGAAAAATCCAACGAACTTTTTGGTTAAAATGATATGGGTGACGAAGAGTGGCGAGGGGTAGTGATATCATTGTGTGTGATGAGTTTTAGTTACGTAGGGTTTGAAAATGGTAAAACTGACTTCGTTTTTTTCACTTTAAACCTTCCTAAACGGTTATAAATAGCTCTTTTGGTTTATGTATTAAGAAAAATATTCAAAGATTAAATCATTCAAAATGAGAAAGTTTAACGGATTTTTTATTTAAAAACTTAATCATTCAAAATGAGAAAGTTTGTTGTATTTTTTTTTGAAAATTTTCTTTTAATAAAAAGTAAATTATGTTTTTCATCCATGTGGTTTGTTAAAAATTGTTGATTTCATCCCCATGGTTTCAAAATTTCGATTTCCATTCCTATGGTTTGCAATTCATTTCTATTTTCGCCCATGAATCCAAAACACCACTTTTAAGTATGAACGACTAAAATATAAATGAACTATAAACCATAAGAACGAAAAAAACAATAGATTTTAAATAATAAGGATGAAAAGGTAATGAATTAGAAAATAAAAAAATTTCAACAAACCATGAGGAACCAGGGTGGGTAGGAGCGGGTCGAGTCCGTATCGCCGCGGAGCAACAGCCGCGTCCGGATCTGATCTATCTACTCGGCAATTCATCCAGTGACTTCACGGTCGCCAAAGAAGCCCCAAGAAGCATCAAACATTTCCGATGAGATCCATGGAGCTATTCTTAGATAGCAAGCACCAGCTCCCGATGCGACTTCATAAAAAGTCTCGTAGCCATACGAGAGCTTGGAACTACACCCTAGAAGGAGTTAGTCAAAGCCTTCCTTTCGCCCCCGCTTTCCTTCATCTCATGCATCTGGGTAAAGAAACGAAGTTGTTTAAGTAAGAGTTAGCGTCTATGGAAAAGAGATTTGAATCGCTCTGTGGCGGGATAAGCTGTGGTAGAGAACGCTGTAATAATAATTGGGCCATGA